TGACTTGACCAGATTTGATCCCATGAGAGAAATGGGAATCAAGTCGTTTGCTTTTCCGAAGCATTATTTCAATACTTGTGGCGTTACACAGGTGTTGAAAAGGAGAAGAAAATTGTATCAGAAAATTGACCAGATGTTGCCGTGACAACCAAACTTCAGTTTATCGGAAGCTTTTCCTCAAGCAGCTTGGCAGTATATTCCCGCGGTTGGCAAATTTCAGGGTTTCATTTGTATTCAACCGTCATCTACCTTGAATGTTGGAAGGCTGAGCGCTCTTCACCCATTCAGGTCGAAGCCGCTTGAATAGGGGCAGCTGTTGCACCCCAAAATTTGACCAACCGGGTCCCGTATTTGGCTCGATGTTTCGACGCATAATCGCATTCGCATCTGCATATTGCATACAGTGCATTTTTCATTTGTATTGATTTTATCAGGGATCACAGCTCTCGTCTCGTGTTTCAGGTGTTTTTGATCAGTAGAATCGATTTTTGGGTTATTTCGGTGCCCGTTTATTTTTACCGATTATTTTTGTGTCGTTCGGTGCTCATTTTGTCCCTCTGGGAATTATGGCGATTTTTCTGGGTTTTTATTGGCCATTTTTAGATTTTAAATAGCTTTTAAATCATTTTTAGGATTTAATAGAATTTTTTAGGGTTTAAATAGATTTTAAATTCATTTTTAGGATTTAATAGGATTTTAAATAGATTTTAATATTTTTAGATAATATAGAATAGTTTTGTTTTAGAATATTAATAGAATTTAATAGCATTTTTCATTTTTTAGAAAATTAATAGTTTTTAAAATGGTTTTGATAGCTTTTTAATCTTTTAATATAGTTTCTTTTTCTTATTAAATAGATTTTAATAGTGTAATAGAAATTAAATGTTTTAATTTTAGATATAGAAATAAATAGGATTAATAGAAATTTAATAGGGTTTTTTCCTTTTTAGATTTAATTCAAAACTGATTAGATTAATTAGGTCTTGTTAAAGTAGTGTTAATCCATTTTCTTTAATCATGTTAATACAGTTTTTGCAGTTGTTTAATTCATTTTCGTGTGGGCTTTATCCCCATTTTCGCAGGCCCAATTAATGTATTTTTGTCCAGAATTAAATCCAGTTTAGTCCAGAAAGGTCCAGCACATTCCCAATTCTCCCAGAAGGATCTAGAATATTCAGGATTTTTCTCAGTGTTATAAATGATCAAGCCACGTGTTGGCCAGAGAGAGGGCCCACGCTTCACGTTCCCCAGACGCCACCTCACCCTCAGCCTCCATCTCTCTCTGCCACGCATGGGGACACGCGTCCCACATGCGCCCCTCTCCTCCACCACCTCCACACGCGTCCTTCCCCCATCACTCCACACCACTTCACCGGAAAAGCCTCACCGGCCGGCCTGCATGGCCGGCGGCCACCGCGCCGTCGCCGGAAAACACAAACCCAGACCTCCAGTCATCATGTTCATCACCTTCCCCTAGTCATCATCTTCCTCCAACAACTTCCGGCCACCATTGAATTCGCCGGAAAATCCAAAAACACTTGGAACTCATCTCTCATCCAATCTTCTCTTCTTTCGTCTCCGACCTTCATTTTTCTTTTCCGATCAACATCAACCATGGATCTTCCCCAGAGATTTTCAGTTCATCAATAACCACCAACAAACTATCAAGAACATTCAACTTCGAACCCTAGAGATCTTCAAGCAATGTTAAGATCCTCAACCGTCCTTGTTTCCAGATTGCATCACAAAAATCATTCCCCAAGAACATTCATCATCCGTTCTTCTTCCATCTCCCAAGAAACTTCATCATCCGTTCTTCTTCCGTTTTCCAGAAACTTCATCAATCTTCAGCGTTTTCCAGATTTTGCCTTTTGTTCTTCAGATCATCAACAACACTCAAGAACACCATCGTGTTCTTTACCAATTTCTAGGTCTTCTTCATATCTTCTTCTTGTTGCTTTCAGGAAGCCTTCATAGTGTTCGTCATTTCTTCATCTTCATGAAGATCCCACAGAAACCTTCATCATGTTCGTCAGTTCCTTCAATGAAGTTCCAGAAAGTTCAACAAACAACCTTCAAGAACACACATCAACGAAGAACGCTCCATGAACTCCAAGATCTTCTTCAAACAATCATCACCAGAAATCCAGTTTTCCAGAAATGTTCAATCCTCCATCATCAGAATCATCACTCATCAAGATCTGGTTGCATCTTCATCATTCCCTCAACTTTTCCAGAAAGGTTCTTCAAGAAACTTGCCATGTTCACTCCTTCATCAAACGCGAGCAAGGGTCCGCGAATCTTCGTTTCCATTATCTTGTTTCATGTTTGAGGAGAAACGAACAGAAAGAAGAGGTTTGAGGTTGAGTCTGGGAAGAACGTAGATTGAAGGAGAGGGAGGTTGGTGTTGAGGGATGTCGAATGGAGAAGTTTGGAAGGTTGTGACGGCGGCGACGCTGAGGGAGAAGGAAGGTAACATTAGGGTTTCAGGTTCAGAGGAGAGGGAAGGTTCGTGAATTGGGTTAGGGGATGGGCCTCAGGCCCATTGGATCTGTTTGCTGGATACACCCCCAGATCATCCGTACACCCCCCCCCCCCGTGTGGTTTCTTTTTTTCTTTTGTTGCATATTTTTTTGATGGGCTGGGCCCGTTTTTGTTTTTCTTTCTTGCACAACCCCCCTGTACCAGTTACACACCCCATCCCTTTTATTTTTCTTGTTTAGTTTTATAATAAAAGAAAAAGAAGGTTATAAAAAATGATATTGTGAAAAAATATTAAAAGAAAAGAAAAGAAATATTCAAAAAGAAATAGAGAAAATATTGTGAGAAAAAAAAACATATTGGAAAATATGTGAAAAAATAAAGAAAATATGAAGAAAAAATATATTGAAAAATATGAAAAAATAGAGAAAAATATTTTGAGAAAAAGGGAAAAATATGTTGAAAAGAAAAGAAGAAAAAGAAAAAAATATTAAAGTGTCGATTTAATATTTTTAGAGTTCATTTTCTTTAGGTATATTTTCATAGGAATTATTTTCCCATTTTAGGACAGTTTAGAAGCCCACTTGTTAAGGGGCTATTTTCCATTCAATTTTCTAGATAGGATAAGATAGTTTTTCCTAGGAGATTTATTTTCAAGTATTCACTCATTGTAACCATTTTTCGAAGATTAATAAAACAAGATTTGAGCTGTGGTCCCGTAGTAGCCGAACTACAGCTGCTCTGATTCTTCGTACCAGACGAAGATATGTAGGCATAGGATGCGATATCCTAGCGAGCACACTAACGAATAACTTTTGTTCTCTCGCGGCTGTGCGATCGAGACTTTCCCGCTGACGATTAATTCGTTACCCTTTTTCTCTCTTGCCCAAGTGCATTTGAGACCAAACCATAGTTTTGACCATAGGTTCCCGACCCTGTGAAGCCAGTTGTTTTTCTCACTACTGTGTGAGAATGTTTGTCTAGCCGTAGTTAGTCTGAACTACGTAAAGCTCTGATCTTCCATCCAGTGGAAGTACGTAGGCACAAGACGCGAGGTCTTGGCGAGCCAATCTTTCCCCGTAGTCCCGAACTACGTTGACTTTGACTTTCTCTCTTGAGAATACGTAGGCATAGAGTGCGACGCTCTATCGAGTCAATTCCCTTCCGTTTAGATTTAGCAGCCGTAGATAAGATTGTTTTGCATCCAGTAGACAACCCAAGCAAGCGTGGATCCCGTCGAGTACGACGGACGTGAGGGGTGCTAATACCTTCCCCTTGCGTAACCGACTCCCGAACCCAGGCTATGGTTGCGATGACCATACCTTTTCCCCGTTTTTTGCGAGGTTTACTTCGAGCGTTTCCTTTCCCGCTCTGAGGGATAAATAACGCACGGTGGCGACTCTTCTGTCAGCCGGCGCCGATTTTCGCAGTAGCGACAGCAAGTTATCTAGTTAGTCTATATATAGGCTAGAACATTCAGTTTGTTGAGTGTGGCCATGTTATTCACTTGTATGTAATCTTTTGTAATATTGAGAAAGTGAATAGTATAGCAATTAGCCCTAATCCTTCTTCCTCTTTCTTCTTTATCCTCTCTTCTTTCTCTCTTTGTTATAACTGATTTCATTGTTCACCCAAGAACTCTGTTTCTCAATCTTGATTTGTTGTAAGGTATCGTTTGTGATCACAACATCAAGGAGGCGTTTAAGCTTATCTAATTGTTTCACTTCCTATTCTCCACTTTATTTAAAAACTATTCCTAGTTTCAACGTCTCATTTCCAACTCTTTGTGTCCTCAAACCTAGTTTCAAAGTCTTTTCTTTTCTTCAAAAACCTTTTATGAAAATCTTTTATTCGTTATCAATTAAAAGTTTGTTGATTTCGATGATTTGAAAAATAAATGTTTTGATCTAAGGAAAACTATTCTCAAGCAAAAGTTGAATGGTTACTTTGACATTCTTCATGGACCTGCCTACATTAATCTCGTTAAAGAGTTCTAGTTAAATGCCTCCGTTGGACCATCTGGTCATGATGCTGAGTCAATCTAGTCCTATGTCAATGACTCTCCTATCACAATTATTCAGTCACTTATTGCTCAAACAATAACTTGTGAAAAAGAAGGTTGTTGTGTTAAACATTATAGATTCAACAATGCCTACTCAGATCACTTTCGCCTAATTTATGCCAACTACGATAATCTCAATAGTCCTGTTACTAGAGGTGGCAATTTATAATCAGATGTTTTTCACAACTATCAATTGAATTATCTTTTAACATTATATTAACATGACACCAAACTTCTATAACTTCTATACTTTTAATAGATGCAATTCAGAATCTAGAATATATTCAAACATAATAATTATAACTTCAAAATTAAATTAAAAATTAAAAACAGTATGGTTTTTTTCCTTATCTACACCACAACCGAACCATTGTTCCTTCTATTTAAGCCCTCATCATGGCAGCTAAAAAATCATATTCATTTTTCATCCTCCACATATATACCTGAGAGTGAGAAGATGAATCGTCCATTCAAATCACTGCATCCTCTTTACCAAAAACCCAAGTTCATCCCTCAAGATAAACTCGACGCCGGAAATAAAATAGTGAAAATGTTAGAAGAAGCAGATATGAATAAGGATGGTCGTTTAACAAGGGATGAAATCGAGAAAGCTCTAAAAAGTTTAGGTTCCTACTTCCCTGGATGGAAAGCAAACCGTTGTCTCAAGAAACTTGATGCCAACAATGATGGCCAAATTAGTGGTGGTGAAATTGACGAATTGGTTGATTATCTTCTCAATCATGGTTATGGAAAGAAATGAAAGAAGTGAAGTACTAATTCGAGGTGAATCCCCACTTTGGGTTTCAATCTAAACTTTACCATATTTATGTATTTGTGTTGTTATGTTTTTATAATGTTTTATGATCATGTATAAATAAGACTCAAGAATTGGAGATAAGCAATTCTAAGAGGTTGATCTAATGACAATGATAAAAAAAAAAGTTATAAATGTAATTTGTAAAATGGAGTACTACTATACTCTTTTGAAGAAGATAAATATTTTAAAAAATTTTAGACTCTAATTTAATATATATTATAAAACAACTAAAATTTTTAATATAGTTTTCCAATTTTTTTTCCACATTTGTCTTTCCATTTAATATTTTCAAAAGAAGTAAAACAAATAATTTTTTTTAAACCATTCAAACATTTAAATTTTTTTACTTAATTTGTGATTTTCTCCACAATCAACTATGCAGGTTCATAAGTATAAGTTCTTGTTTTATAATTTATTTTTTTTTACATTTTTTAATTTACAACATTTTTTTTTGTAGAACATGTATATTATTTGTGTGAGAATACTAGCTCATTGGAGAATGAAAATTTCTCATACCGATTCAAAGTAAATATTTCTCATACATATTCATTAGAAGAGATTATATATATATATATATATATATATATATATATATATATATATATATATATATATATATATATATATATATATATATATATATATATATATATATATATATATATATATATATATATATATATATATATATATATATATATATATATATATATATATATATATATATATATATATATATATATATATATATATATATATATATATATATATATATATATATATATAGGAACGGATTCAGAAATATTAATTAGTGGGGGCATGATACTCCTTCATCTCATAAAAATTAGAAAATTAATTTTATATATTAATTTTAACCCATGATACTCCTTCATCTCATAAAAATTAGAAAATTAATTTTATATATTAATTTTAATGAAAAAATCAATATTATTTTTTAAAATATGTTTACTCATTGTAGTAAATAACATAGTTGAATTAAATTAAAGTTAATAAATAATAGAAATAGTAATAAAAAAAATAATAAATATTGTATCGTATTTTTAAGAGATAACTATTTTAAAACATAGAAAAATATAAAAGTGAGATACTTTTTATGTGAAGAAGGAAGTACACATATTTTAAATATTGTCTTATGAATTTAATTATTGTTACCATTACAGTACTACATTAAACAATTGAAAAAAAAAATATATAATAATTATTCAAATAACAAATTAATCTTTAAGCTAGATATTTAGAATAAATTTTTTTCCAATATTATTACATACATATATTTATGAATATGTGATCAAATAATATTTTAACAACTTATCTTTTACATTATTTTTTATTTAATTATTTATATTTAAAATTAATTAGTTCATTTTATGGAGAAAATATTTAATTTTTAAGACAAATAAAAGTAAAACAATTAATTATTTAATACAAAATAAATAAATTAATGGGGACAAATGCTCCCAATTAGCATAATCTAGATTCGTCCATATATATATATATATATATATATATATATATATATATATATATATATATATATATATATATATATATATATATATATATATATATATATATATATATATATATATATATATATATATATATATATATATATATATATATGATAAAAAAGAACACATAAATTACCCTAACTAACTTATAACTATTTATATACTTAATTAAAATGACGACCTTCCTACAAATTGGAAAATGTAAGATACATAGTCCTTAGTTGGACAAGAGAGAGTTAAAAAGAGAAGTATGGAGTCGTTTTGTTAGAACATATGTTAATTTTGAACTTGAAGGCACAAATAGATAATGAATCAGTTTGGACTATAGTTTCTCAAGAATGACATGACAAAACTGCTATAAAACACACCTAACACAACATATTATTACCATTGCTATTAAATCAACCGAGATAGTAACTCTTATATATATATATATATATATATATATATATATATATATATATATATATATATATATATATATATATATATATATATATATATATATATATATATATATATATATATATATATATATATATATATATATATATATATATATATATATATATATATATATATATATATATATATTTTATTTCTTTTACTAAAATATTTTTTAATATGGTCCATAGTAATAATTATATTGATATGTTAAGTCATATAGACTTCGCTTTCCAGCACCAACAATTTTCCTTTTTATTTATTTATAATATAGACGTGTCATTATAATCTTAATATTTATATTAAAAATAAAATACCACTTATCAAGGTCGAAAGTAGAAACCATTGTGAAAGGTACCTGCATTTTATCACGGTGGTTTTAAGCAACCCTAGTGAAAAATGTAACATATATTTAAGTGAAAGTTCGCTCTTTTAAGACATAACACTTGTCTCTCTCAAAACGAAACTCTAACACTCTCTCACGCCTTTTTCATACACCATGAATGGTTTATACACCTTCATAAAAAAACTCCAACATATCTTCTTCATCTCTTATGGATCAAGAAAATGTGTTACACAAAACTCATTTCTTTCACTTCCTCTTCACATTTCAGGTATGCGAGACTTTTCCACGTCTTATATTTTCGTTGATTTTGCTTTTGTTTTTATATGTTATATGTTGTATGTTGTTTAAGGTATGTTGTTGTTGAAGTTGTATGTTGATAAAAGTTATATGGTGTTGATAATTTTGTGTTTCTTAATATATGTTGTATGTTGTTGTTGATAAAAGTTGTATGTTGTTGATAATTTATTTTTCGTTGATATATGCTTTATGTTATTTAAGGTATGTTGCTCTTGATAAAAGTTGTATATTGTTGATGATTTAGTTTTTGTTGATATATGTTTTTTGTTGCTTAAGGTATGTTATTGTTGTTGTTGTTGTTGTTGTTGTTGATAAAAGCTGTATGTTATTGATAATTTAGTTTTTGTTGATATATGTCGTATTCTATTTAAGATATATCATTCTTGACAAAAGTTGTATGGTCTTGATGATTTAGTTTTTGTTGATATATATTTTATGTTGTTTAATGTATGTTGTTGATAAAAGTTGTATGTTATTGATGATTTAGTTTTTGTTGATATGTTTTGTATTTTGCTTAAGGTATGTTGTTATTGATAAAAATTGTATGTTGTTATTGATAAAAGTTGTATGTTGCTAATGATTTAGTTTTTGTTTATATATGTTGTATTTTATTTAAGGGTTGTTGTTGTTGATGATTTATTAATTGTATGTTATTGATTTTCAATGATATTCCTTGTATATTACATGTTTCATTACATTAAACCATTCTATAAGATGAGTTTATTATGTCATATGTGATTTGAGTGTTTTAGCAATCGGTCACTAACTAAATAACTTTTCTAATTGAGTTAGAAATTAATAATTTTAAAAAAATAAGTTATGTTAGAAAATAACTTACATTGATCAATGTTTTTCAAGTTTTATTCCTTCCATTCTACGTATCTCCCTCTTTGAGAGTTAGAATTTAGTTTAATGCTTATAGTTCTTCAATCAACACTTATTTATTTATTAGTTTAATAAACTAGTAGAGAATGAAATATTGGTTGAAGAGTCATAAGCATTGAAGCTAATTCTAACACCTAAAAAGTGAGATACGAAGAATGAAAGGAAGAAAGCTAGGAAAACATTGATATTTGTAACTTGTTATTCTAATATAACCTAATTTGTCAAATTGTTAATTTCTATATCAAATTAAAAGGTTTTATATTTAGTGAAATTTTGGTGAAATAAGCATTCCACAGATGTTATACTAAACTCAAATCAACATTTCACCACGGTTGAAAGATGCAATGGTAGTGAAAGTTGTGCCCCGAGTCTTTCACTACGGTTAGAAAGAACAACCATGGTAAAAAGTTGAGAACACAACCAAAATGTTGGCCTGAGAATTGAACCTTTGTAATCTACCTTTTACTAGGGTTATCATAAGGAACTATGGTGATATGTAAAGTGCTACTGTGTTCTTACCATAGGATCTAGTATGTGGTGGTAAAGAACGTACTTACTACCACACCCCATTTTACCACGAACCTCAACCCGTGGTAATATCCTTTTCCCAACCAAGTTTAAATATCCTTTTCGTAGTAGTGCAATGTAACTCAATGTGTTGGATGCACTCATGGAAAGTCATTTTGGTGGCCGGGGTAAAGAAGGGTGTCATGGAAAGTGTGTTACTTTTCCATGAGTTCGAAAAATGGAACTGGTCATGCGTTCGATCCCTAGAAACAACTTTTTTTTTAATTTTCAAATCTATGTTACTTGTTACCTTGGTTTGAAATAGTATTTGAGGTGCAATACATTTGTTTTAACCTAATTTTTTCATTTCAATCTGCAAAAATTTGGAATCTTCCTCATAATCATCATCAACAACAAAATATATAGAATCATTAGACAACAACAACAATAGTAATAATAACAACAAGATCAATAGAATATATAAACATTAAATTTCAAAAATAACAACAGCAACAACAACAACAACGACAACAACAAAAAAAACAACAACAATAACAACGATAACAATAACAACAACAAATAAACAAAATCAATAGAATCGGTAAACATTAAATTTCAACAACAACAACCGCAACATTAAACTTTTTACTTGACAAATAAGAACAAGTAACATTGTTAAATTACATCCATTCTTTTATAACTAGCATTAAATATTTTTAAAAAGCAATATGAGAGAAGAAATTACACTAAGAAACCAACCTTGAAATATTTTCCTGCTCTTATAATCTATCCTAGAGAATGGTGTTGTACTTCTTGCTCTTATAATCCATCATAGAGAATGGTATTGTTAGATCAACCGAGGTAATATGTCATAAATAAGAAATAAAAATAAAATAAAATGTGCTAAAATGAAAATGTTTCGAAAAGGGGGT